GTTCCTTGGCTTGTAGAGACCTCAGTCCAATTCTTTCTTCACCTGAGGTTCTCTCTGTGTCTCTCTGCCTTCCTTCAGTCATGGTGGCTGTATTAGAGTGGGGTCTCTTCTTATAAGGACCTTAGTTATATTGRAGTAGAGGTCCAGTCTACTCCACCATGCCTCAACATCTGTGACCGCCCTGCATTTACATAAGGACACATTCTGAGGGAACAAGGGTTAGGACTTCAACATATCTGTTTTAGGGAACACCATTTTCCCCATAGCAGACATATTTCTGTATAGAAAACTACTTCCTAGCTGGGTGTAGTAGTGCATACCTATAATCCCAGCAGCTAAAGAGGATGAAGCAGGAGGATCACAAATTCAAAGCCAGCCTCAGAAACTTAGCAAGATCCTGTCTCAAAAACAAACAAACAAAAAAATGGGCTGGGGATGTTGCTCAGTGGTTAAGTGCCCCTGGGTTTAATCCCTGGTACCCCACTCCCCAAATAAAATGAAATTAAAAAAAAAAACCAACTTCCTGAATCTCTCAGTCTGCCTTAAGCCACAGTAAAGTGATCTGGTTAATCCATGGGTTCTGAGTTTGTTTGCTCTGGTTAAAATCTTGTCTTTGTTGCTGTGTGACTAAGGATTATGAGACAGGAATACATTATAGTAAGACCTTTTTGAGGTTGGTAGAGGATTAAGGTAAGTACTTTGCATAGTGCTGGGCATTAAGTGCTCATTGAATATTAGTTACTTAAGTGACATTAATGTTGTTATCGACCTCCCACCCCCAACTCTTCCCATTAACTTTCCTAGTAGCAGTTCATTTATTCTCCCCTGCACACACACATGGACCTCAGGCCTCACCAAATGTATCCTTACCCCACCCGCACCCGGTACTGGGAATTGAACCCAGGATGGGCTCTACCACTGAAGTTCATCCCCAGTTCTTTTAATTTTTTATTTCGAGACAAAGACTCACTATATTGCTGAGGCTGGCCTCGAACTTGTGATCCTCCTCCTGAGATTAACAGGAGTGTTTCACTATGCCAACTGCTTCTTCATTTTATTTATTTATTTATTTATTTATTTATTTATTTATTTATTTAAGAGAGAGTGAGAGAGGAGAGAGAGAGAGAGAGAATTTTTAATATTTATTTTTTAGTTCTCGGCGGACACAACATCTTTGTTGGTATGTGGTGCTGAGGATCGAACCCGGGCCGCACGCATGCCAGGCTAGCGCGCTACCGCTTGAGCCACGTCCCCAGCCCCGCTTCTTCATTTTAATAAGGAAATTAGGAGTGCAGTGGAGGGGTGTGAGTGGGAGGGACTCCTTTAGTGTATAGCCAGATAGGAGATAGTTTACTAGCATTTCAAAAGTTTCTTTATAGATTTTTCCAATAGAAAAAGTAGGACATTTCTCAAATGCACAATCCTGAAGTTGGAAGGACTGCTTAGAAAAGAAAAAAAAATAAACTGCTGACTATGTAAACAGCCTTACAAGGGGATGTCCACCTTGGAGAATTTTCCCCATGGTCCTGCATCAAACTCTCATTCAGCTTTACAACAGGTTCAGAGAATTTCCCATGTTCTAGTCCCAGAACTGCAAGCTGACTCACACTAAAAACATTTGCAAGATGTACCAGATGTAGAAAATGAAAGGACACTTTATATAATTTACAATGACAAAAAAGTCACCGGTGTACTAGTGCCTTTGTAGTTCCAATCACGGCCTCTCTCAGAATCATCAGAAGGCTGCTTGGTGGGTGTAGAGTCAGACTGAAAGGCTCAAGACACAGCATTAAATGAATAATAGCATYAGGTTCTTAATTGACCATTCTGACATATCAGAGAGGCACACAGGCCCCTTGGGCTCTGTCTCTTCTTCCTCCTCCTCTTTCAATATCTCCTTTAATGCTTCCATTTTTTTTTTAAAACCTCCTCCCTCTGATCAGCACATTCCCTTTTTGGATAAAGTGTTTTGTTCTCTTCACGGGTTTCTTCTTTTTTTAAGGTCAGAATCAGAGAATCTGAGAGAAGCTATCCATAGTAATCTCTGCAGAAAAATGTCATATGATACTTAAAATACCATGTGAACAACTTCAGGAGGGTTCATGGACCTCCTTGAAGCTGTTTTATGCATCCTAAAATTCCTGCCTTGGGGCTCAGTGATAGAGTACTTGCCTGGCATGCAAGAAACCCTGGGTTCCATCCCCAGCACTTACCCCAACAAAAAAAATATCTTGCCTTAAACAGACCTTGCCTATCTTGAGCTGAAGTTAAAGTTGAAAGCTAACCACGCAATCTTTTCCTCTTGGTCAAGTTCTTAGGATCACCTTACATTGTCACCTTCATTTTCTTTCCTCTAATTTTATAGTAAGACCTTCTTTCTGCCCTCTACACTGCCTTGACCTTGTGGCCACTATCTTGGTCTTGTTTCTGCTTTGACTTGTAGCTTGCACTTTCCCTCTGAATCCAGTTAACCCACTCCTTTCTTCCCTCATCCTTTTTCTTGGCAGGCCTTGCCCATGTCCTCATACATTGGCTTTGATTGACATATTGATCTCATTCAACCTGTTTTTCTCATAACCATATTCATAACATTGTCTCCCTTTTTTAACTTCCTCCCTCTGCCTGTTCTTTTCTGCCAGTGTTCCCAGGGCTTAATTCCTTGAATATCCTTTTCTCAGTTTCTTCCCTTTCCTACCTCCACTACCACTAAGCATTACCTATCTTTAAAATACCCCTTTTTACATGATTTTTGATACATATTTGTATTTCCCATTCAGACTATTCCTCTGAGCTACAGCCTTGCATATCCAACTTAACTGCAATTTGCACTTGAATGTCATAAAAACAGCATAAACTAAGTAGATCCAAAATGAAACAAATGTTTCTCTGCTCCCATCTTCTCCCTTCTCAGTTCATATAGTAACTCSAGCCAGAGGAATCCTCACTCATTGTTCCCCTCTCCTTAACTGCAACACCAGTGATCTTATTACTCTACTCTTAAAATATATCTTGAGAATAAAACAGACTCTTCATCCCCAGGGCCACTTAGCCCTAGGCTCTTAGTTCAGGCCAGCCTCATTGCCCACCTGACCCACTTGCTCTAACCTCCTGCCTGCTCTCTGTTTCTATCCTGGCCTCTCTCTCATCCATTCTTCTTATAGCAGATACAGCTTGCTCTTTAAAACAGAACTAATATTGTGTCACTCTCAACCTTCGTTAGTAGCTTCCTATTCATTCACTAAACATTTTTTACTGAGCAGCCCCTAGGTGCCAGGACCTAAATAATCCCTGCCTCGTAAGTAAATGTAGATAGTAGATGGTGGTAAAGCCTATTTAAAAAAAAAAAAAAAAAGAAGGAAGGGGCAAGGGAAGAGGAATTGTGTGTTTATTGTTGACAATTTTATTTTTTATAGAGGTGATACTTGAGAAAGAGATGATTTATGATTTTTTGTGGTGTGTTGAAGATTGAACCCATGATTTCAGGAATGCCAGGCAAAACCTTTGCCACTAAACCACACCCCCAGTTCCTTGAGTAAGAGACGATGGGATAACCTCTGCAGTTCCCTTAAGATTTCAGGTGGAAGAGATTGAAGAGCAAAGGCCCAGAGGTGAAATTATGACTGCCTTTGGGGCTGAGTAGAATAAAATCCAAGCTTGACTGTGGGTTATAAGAGGTCTAATCGCCCCCACCCCTGAAAAACAGTAACACCCCCAAGAAACAAACCCACAACCAAGAAACAACCCCTCCCTCAACCTTGACCTTTGTCCTATCGCTTCCTCCCCCCCCCCCCTTTATCTTCCAGTTCACCAGAAACTGTTTCTTGCTTTTCCTTGTTATGCCTCTGCACAGTATTCCTCCACCCCTTATGCACAGATTCAGTCTCCAAGGAGGGCAGCTTCTCTCCCAGTAGATGTGTTTGAATTTCACCTTGGGCCTTTCCTTACTGCAGGAACTAAAAGAAGCCTTGTTATTTCTCTTTTTGTCAGCTTCCTCTTGTTTCCCTCAAGGCACCCATCCCACCATGCACTTGGGATTCACATATGCATGAATTTAAACTCAACAGGCAAACTTATCTCATTGTCATTTGAATTTGCACTTGATCGCTAATAAAGATTATTTCTCCAAGCAATGGTAACGTTCTTAGCAAGATCTTTTATTTTGTCTAAACAAATGCTCAAAGTCCCTACGTCTTAAGGATCGGAGCAGGGCTGGCCAGCCGCAAACCCCACCCTGCCAATTGTCTGGAGGGAATTTCTTTTTCTAAGTTCCTGGAGGAGGGAATGACTCACGGTGACCGTCACTTCGCCGGAATCATTCCAAAAACCGAACCCATTTGGAGGAAAGTATTTCACTTCGATATCACCAAGTTGCGAAAATGGGCCAAAAAGTTGCACTCGCGTGGCACCGGGTACCACCAGTGCACACTTACTGAGCAATTATTAATGACCACCGAATTATGCATTACAACGTTACATTAGTTACCGGGAAGCTAAAGCCCCGATGCAAGTGGGTGTGTGTGGGGGTGCTGTCCATCACTAGCCTCTCCGCCTCTTCCACAGGACTCTCGGTCCCCAGGGAGAAGACAGCCAAACTGACCCCTTGTAATCTCCCAAGGCCAAACCGGGGAAACAGGCGCGGGGATCGTGGGCCGAGAATCCAGAGTTTTCCGGGATCTCGACATTCCAGCCAGGCCGCTCTCCCGGCCCATCGAGATTACAGCTCCTCTCGCGAGAGCACTGGGAAGGCTGGCTCCCGGCGGCAGCGGGATGTTGGCTGAGCACTCCAGACCGCGCCCCCTCTGGCGCAGCTGGGAGAGGCGCGCGAGGTACCAGCGGGAGCGGCCGGCGCGCGCACGCGCAGGTGAGCGGGTGAAGCGGGGGCGCGGGGGCACGAGGGCGAGGGGCGGGGCTTTGCGTCGCGCCGCGGGCACGTCGCTGCGCGTCCTCAGTATTTAATGTCTCTGTGTTCCACTGGCCTGGGCGAGCACGTGGGGGAGCAGCCCGAGCACAGAGCTGCGGGGCTGGGCCGTGGGGCCAGGCGGGGGCTGGGGGGGTGGCGGCGGCGCCAGGGCTCCACACCCCGACGGTCGCAGAGAAGCTGGTAAGTTAGGGGCACTGGGGGGTCGCCTGGCCCGCTCATCCCCTGCCTGGGCCCTAGGAGGGCGCCGTCGTGTTGTTGGGGTGCCTGGGGTGCAGGTGCAGGGCGCGACGCGCGCTCCAGGTAGTGGGAGGCAGAGGATCCGGACCCCGAGCGTGTGCAGAGGGCTCACGCTAGTCTGCTGTCAAGCAGGCCCGTCTTGCCTCCGTAGCCAGCGCGCCCAATGGTCCTCCCCCGCGGGGTTGTCTGCCCGAGGGCTCCTACTGACAGGTCGCGTGTGCGTGGATGGGGGCGGCGCTCTGAGCCTTGAGGTTCCCCCCACGCGCGTCACCGCCCTCGGGGCGGGGGCGGGGACGCGACACCCGGGGCGCCCTTTCTGCGCCTTAACTTTGCCGGAGCGCGCTCACCGCCTGAGCGTCCCACCCAAGGTCGCCCAGCCCCACTCGCGTTTACTTTTCAAAGGTCGTGTGTACCCAGTTTGAGCCCCGAGAGGCGGCGGCGGGGCGGACTGTGGGCAGGGCCAGGTGCTCAGAAGGGCGAGGAGGTCCTCCAAATCCCGCAGGGAGCCGTTCTCCGGCGGGGGGGGGGGATAGGAGTTAAATTGTTCACTTCCGGAGCCTAACCCAACTTCTCGGCCTCTTTGGCTCGATGGCGGTGGTAAACCCCAGCAGGTTGCCCAACCCCTGGAGTTTAGCATTGTGAACCAGTGAAGAGGGCTCCGTGGACCGAGCTGGGAGAATGGGTTGGGCGACTGCTGTGCCCGGAACCGTGTTTGGAGCGGAGGGACGCTTAGAACCGAGTTAGGATCCCGAGGACAAGGGCTTGGATGTCTCGAGGAGAGTCAGCATTTGCAACCCCCTTAAGCCGTCCAGAGAGGTGGAGGCCGTCCAGCCCAGTATGCTCGCTGACTTCACTCCTCTGGGACGCCAAGAGTCACGTGCTCCCCCCTAACTCAGGTTCGMGATCTGCAAGGTCCACACATGCACTGGGGTATGACATGCTTAGACCATGGGGCTGGACACCTCAGGGATGGGATTTCTAAGTGTTCAACTATTTTGTGCCGTAGTTTATAGTTCTTAACCATTTCCCTTGCTAGGAAGTAGGGAGGAGGTATAAGAGAGGAAGAGTGCGGGTGGTGGTGTACTGTACAGACGGGACCCTGGTCCCGTGGGAAGCCCTGAGCATTGAGGGACTTGCCCCTCCTCTCCCGAGGAGATGCAGCAGGCGCCTTCCTGCCCYTGGGCTATGGTTAACACAAACCCGGTGGACTTCGCTCCAGGTGTGAGTGGAAGCCTCTCAAGCTGGGTAGGGTAAGGTGTGTGTGCAGGGCAATTAGTGAGGTTAAACTGCCTGTATTTCCCCTACTGAAGTGCAGGCTACTCAAAATTTAAATTATCTTTTGCAGTGAAATCTGGGCCGCTGGACCTGGTGCAGCCACCTCTGTTAGATGGTTTGCTTCCTATCTCCCCTCCACCTTTTCCATGTCTCAATTGCTGATTAGGARCACTGTTCACGAAAAGCTATTAGTTCTGGTAACTAATAACCTTACATGTTCATGTAACCGCTAAGCCCTTCCCAAATTAGTACCCCCTGTTAACCCTTTATGTGGAAAGCAAAGCTTGAACTCTTAGCACTCAGCCACTCTGTTCTTAAAGGTATAGAACATCTTTGAAATGAAAAAGGCATCATGATTTGATCATTTGATTCCTCTGTTCTTGACATTCAAGAGTTCACCTGCTGATTATTGAAGATTTTTTTGAGCACTGGGAACAAGTGAAGTTATTTTGGGGGAGATTTTTTACTTGTGTTGAGTCTTGTTTCACTTCTAGTTTTATGTGTCATGGATAATGTGTGTAGCCTTGTGAAAAATGAACATACGTTAGAGGTCTGTATCCTTCAAGTATTCAAAATCACTAAAGCCTTGGTGGTTTCTGGCTTAAATAGGCTCCATTATCATTCGTGTTCTGTGCAGAAAACTGAACCAAGGTGGGTAACTGATGCAAGCCTTTGAGACAGGTCTAGTGGATTTGTGTGTGGGTGGAGTCCCCTGCAGGGGTGTCTCTCCTGTCTTCCAGCTGTTTCTGGGAAATGCATTTACATTCACTTGGCCAGTGCAGGGTGACAGTGGAGGTTAAGTATCTCTTTTAAGTAGCCTGCTCAGGTGCTGAAGTTGATATATCTCCAGTGTAAGGTTGCTGAGCATCAATATTTTAGGGCAGTTTGTCCTGCTGCCTGGTAACCCAGATTATTCTTGGGCTTTGGACCTAGATTGGTCATAGCCATAGTTTGTGAGGGAAGTTAGTTCTAACCCTCACAGTGTTCCTTTTCCCATTCTAAAGAGAGATGGATTTCATATTTGTGAGACTTTGGACTGTGCCTGGTACATGATAGGTGCTTAAACATTGTTCTCTCATTCCTAGGAATCCGAGACTGAGTTAAATTTCACTTGAATCACTTGATTTGAATTTTATTAAAATCACCCCTTTCCTCCTAGCCTCTGACCTAGAAATTTGGTTAAAGTGCTGAGGGAGACAAATTGGTTTCCCCAGTTTGCTGGCTAGCCTCCTAGTTCAACATGTCATGAYTGGGTGGGCATTTTAGGGCTTTGAAGAGTGGCAGCCAGAGTGCCCCGAGAGCTGGTTCCCCGCTACTTCTTCCTGGTGTGTTTAGGATGACTGACCTCTCTGCCRCTTGGTCTCTTGCTTGGTCTCTTCCCGTTATGGAGAAGCCAGACAGTTGTGTCAGCTGAGGGTTAATGCCTTTGGTTTGTTATTCTGAGGAAATTTCCTGTACTTTGGGGGAGGTGCTGAGTTCTCTGGGCCTCTTGGTCCACTGAAATCATATACTCTTTGGAATTGTTCATCTCCATAGTGGGACACCTATTAATCCTAAACCTTGCTTCCTAGGGCAAGCTCTGTTTCTCCTCTCTCCCTTCTTGGTGTATCTATTTCACCCAGGTTTCACTTGCACATTTAACATCAAGTACCCATGTGCATGTGTGGTGCTCCACTGAGTGAACCTGATACCTAATTTTAAACTTGGGCAATGGAAAGTACTGTCACTGAACATGTTTGGAGCAGACAGAGTCTGGCTGGAGAAGTAGCTCTTGGGGATGTGGAAACTGAGATTTAGGAGCTGCCTCTTCCTTCACCTTCCTTTTAATCCTCATACCTCTGAGCATCACTGAAACCGGAGGCCATTCCAGATTGTTTCAGTGAGGGGTAGAGAAACAAGTGTGGGTTTGAACTAGGTCCTCTGGAGGGCTTTTGTGAAAAGAACCAAAGAATATTCTTAATTCCTTGTTTTTTTTTTTTTTTTTCCTTTTTCCTTCTAATCTCTCTGCTGCTTTCTAAGCAGATTTTTGTAGTAAAGTTATGCACATCATCATCAGCATTTGAGGGCTGGCTTTCCAGTAATAAGTAGCTTTCAAGGTGTTCTTTTCCTTAACTTTCTTTTCCTCTTCCTAAATGCTAGCAGAGTTATTCTGTCCAGGTCTTTGCAATCTGGACATGTCTGCAGCTTGGTTTGTTAAGTTTACAGGTGTAGGTAGTAAACATTCTGTTCCCGGTCCTGTAATACTGGCTGGTCATGTTCATCTAGCCATGTGTCACTAAGGCCCATTTGTACTTGGGAACAAAGAAGGGCACCCAGGTGAGTTCTGGAAGTTAAGGTATGCAGAGCTTGGAGCCAGTGAGGCTTTTCTTACCTCTGAGCTTAGTGGCAAGAACCTTGGGCTTAGTGTAGTTCTGAGTGCTGAACCCTGGCTGTGAGTCTAGACAGACCTCTTGGCCCTCTGGGGTGTCAGTTTCCTCACCTGGTAAAGGAGGATTGGTGAACATTAATGGTATTTAGGTTATGCCCCTAGGAACCTTGGAGTTGAATAGGGTGCCTGAGGGCTGCTGTCCTGGACCGCTGGGGTCAAGAATGTTTTCAACATCATGGTTCTTTCTGACAGCACTGGTCTAGTATGTTCTTTTTAAAAACAATTTTAAAAGCTTAATTGCTAGCCTGGCATGGTAGTACACACTATAATCCCAGCAACTGGGAAGATTGAGGCAGGAGAATTGCAAGTTCCAGGCCAGTCTTGAACCTTGTCTCAAAAAGTAAATGACTGGACATGTAACTTAGCAGTAGAGTATTCTGGATTCAGTTGTCAGTACTGCAAAATTAAAACAACAAAACAAATTGCTTCAACTTATAAATCTCTAAATCATCATGTGTTTGGGTTTAGGCTTCCATAGTCCATAAACCCATCAACTTTATTTCTCTCCATGATAAGCAACTTCTGGTACTAAGTACTTACTTAGGAGAGGAGTGATCATTTATGAAACAGTTTGAGAGAGGAGCTTAGTAAGGGGCTAGGGACATGCACATGAAGCAGAAGGGACAGGTCCTTAGAGCACTGTGTTGCTTCAAGAGCCTGTTTATTATCATAAAGGTCCTTTGTTCTTAATTCCCTGGTCTCTGAAAGGCAGATGTCATCAGATCTGCTAGTTGACCTGATGGCTTCCTATAGGACCCTAGTGTAGGCCCTCAGCTAAACCAGGTTGGATTTTTATTCTGTTCCCTTCAGTTCATCTAAATGTTATGGAATGTTTTTCTGTATTTACAGAAGACATTGGAGAGAGTGGGCCATTGGAGAGAGTGCTGATCCTGAAGCATGGAGGGGGAGACGGTTGGGGGAGTTAGGGGGGCACTTTTTTCAGGTGCCCTCCTGATCCAGCCTTGGGTGTGCTTTGTTTGAACCTTGCTAGACTGGCCTTTGACATATAGCGTGAGATCTCTTTTTTCTTTTTTCTTGGAGCCAGATGCAACAGATGCATAACAGACACCTGTGGCACTTTAGGAAGGTTATTTTTATTAATTTTGATTCAAGGTTGCTTTGGCTATTCTTGAACTCCTGGGCTCAAGCAGTCYTGCCTCCACCTCCTGAGTATCTGGGACTACAGTTGTGTGCCACCATAACTGGCTAGGATGGAATCTTTTTCTTTCTTTTTTGAACA